GAATGGATGTATTGACACAGTCGTTGAGTTTGACCAGACGAGGCGGAGGAGGACGGAGATGACGTCCATCATAATAACTTCAAATCCTACACCGTGCGCCTCATCACGTGTGGAAATGCCCCGCATGAGAACATTCAGGATCGACGCTAGGTAGTTAGACGCCAAGTTTGGCTGAGCCTAGCTGCGCTGGCCCAAGCGGGGGAAAGACACGATATGAATGTACGGGTTTGGATGATATTTGCTGGACTGGCTTGACACACGCTGATTTGGCCAAACCAGGCTAGGCTTGGGTAGGCTATGCTGAATGACTGAATCCGGACCCCGTGGTTATTGACATGTGGTTCCAGACCGCTGAATTCTGTCCAGACCTCGTTTTCCTGTAGCTACATGCGCGGGAAGGGCGCGCAGGGGAGCAAGGCAAACGTTGGCTTGCGAGGTTGGCAGTGTATCTTCGGGGGGAATTCGGGTACCCCTGAACGAATCAGGCACGTGCTCGTCATCATGCTTTCATGTCGTCACGAGACATGGAGGAGCTGAGCTGACAGACATGTGTGTGTGTTTACCAGAGAATCTCGCTGTCAGCATGTAGGGTGCCCAAACTTCTTCGATCAGAGCCAGACAGGGCGTCAGCAGGGATAGGGGCCTGCGAGATGCATGGAGAAGCCAGCGGCGATGGCGATGGCTTCCCAGCTTCTTTCTTTTTTCTGCCGCGCACGGTTCGGGGGAGCGTAAGACCCGGGTTTGCCAGGACTCGGGTTCGCCATCGTTTTTTGACGACCGCGACTCGGATTCTGACGAGTAAGACTTTCGTGGGATGTCTGCAGCGGGAGGCCTCGTCAAAGTGCAGGCTCGGCCTCGTCGTTTTTTTGACGACCTCGTCGGGGATTTCCGAGTCCCCTGTACCCGGGTCTTACGCCCCCCTGATCGAAGACGAGGAAGCGGCAGAAGCCTCGAGTTATGTCGGGCCTGTTCCCCCTACAGGGGCCTGCGAGATGCATGGAGAAGCTAGCGGCGATGGCGATGGCTCCCCAGCTTCTTTCTTTTTTTTGCCGCGCACGGTGCCTCACCGCGCACGGGTGGCGGCGGAGGCGCGCCTGGGTGCCGGGCGCCGACGACCAGGTGGGCCGTGCGGGGGCCCCGTGCGCCCCGTGCGCCGTGCTCCGGGGGCGAGCGGGGAGGCGGGCTCCGGGTCGACCCGGCAGAGTCAGCGGGTGCCTGTGAGGCCCATCTGTGCGGGCAATGTCTATATCCACGTCCAGTGCGTCTTGCAGTTTCGAACTCTCTTCCCAAGAAACATGAGGCGCACTGGATATGGATTATTATTATCTGCCTCCAAAGGGCTTAATTTTTATCCATATCCAGTGCGCCTCGGCCTTGCGGCGCCCCTTCCAAGAAAGTCCAAGACGCACTGGTTATGGATATAAATATTGCGGAAACGTAAGACTCGGGTAAGCTGGAACTCGGGTTTGCCGACGTTTTTTGACGAGCGCGTCCTGGATTCTGACGGTCCAGTTTTCGTGGGATGTCTGCAGCGGGAGTTCGCGTCGAATCTCTGATTGGATCTCGTCATGTTTATGATGGCCCTGTCAGGCCAAACCCGAGTCCCCCGTACCCGAGACTCACGTCTCCCCGAATCTGGAGCACAGGTTGCCCTCAGAAGAGGCTAGTGTCGTCTCGGGTGTCCTCTGCTACCAGCCCCGACCGCCCACGTGAGAGTGAGGCCTCGCCAGGGCGACCTTGATTCCGTGCCGCGATGCGATGGCAGCGGTAGCTCTTGCGCGCACCCATCAGCCGCGCACTACAGGCCATTCAGGCCCACCACCCTCGTCAACATTTACCTCAAAAGTGCGCGACACAATTACTCGTGTATTTGATGCTCTGAGTATGGATCGGCGGCGAGCGAGGGGGGGAAAGTGAGAAGAATAAGGCCTTCTCAGAAGGCGGCGGGACTTCTCAGGAGCCCTCGCGCCTTTTGAGAACTTTTCTGTGTCTTCGGGGAAGGCTCAAGAAACTTCTTAGAAGGCTGGGGGACTTCCGAGCCTTCTGAGAAGGCCCGCCTCTTTTCATTTCCCCGCCCACCGGCGCGCTGCCTAATGGACGGCAGTGCGTGCGAAGTACTTGTTGGCGCCACCTCTCCATCGTCGATCTTCGTGGAGCTTCCGAGTCGCGGCGGCCCAGGCCGCGTTTCGCGCCGCTTCGATAGGGGCGGGGGCGACTCGCTGGTGGCCGACGGGGGCGACGTTGCAGGGGCGCGCCAACAACTTTCGAAGTCAATGTGGTCGATCGAGGCACATAACAGAAACGGCAGGAGCATAAGCAATCGACGGTCTGCGCGGTGCTCCGAAAGTGCAGGTTTAATGAGCTGTTCCTCCTCCTCCTCCTCCTCCTCCTCCTCCTCCTCCTCCGCCTGACGGCCAGTGCGGCCGATCCTGAAGGGGGGACGACGGCGACGGCGACGACGGCGATGCGCGGAGCTCAGAAGGTTTGTGAGTTCGGGCAGGTGAGCGTCTGCTTATTCACTGTTCTGCCGATCGGCGCGGGCCCACGACCCCCCCCCCTCCGCCCCACGGATTATGATGCTGCAACCGGCTTTCGCCTTGACCACCAGAAATAATTTCGAGCGCCAGAAAAAATACCGAAATCTCCAGGGTTTGCACGTGTCGGGCCCTGGGAGACACTCGCCCGACACCGTTTCGGCACCGTTTCGACACTCCTTCGACACTTTTCCGGGTGCTCGAAATTTCTTCTGGGATGTGGTCCTCAAGTAGGATGGGGACGACATGACCCACGGAGTAGACCCTGGCTGTTTTTGGGCGCCTGCTTCGAGCTGGCGGAGGCTCCCCCACAGGACGCCCTGCCGCAGACAGCCGCAGGGAGCAGAGGGGTCCGGGGGCCAGCCCCTCCCCCGCCGCCCCCGCCCTTCCGCCCAGTGCCGAAGCTCCGAATAAGACAACGTTCACAAGTCGTTTGGATATCGTTTTTTTATTCGTTCTTTTTGCCACCCCTCCCTCCCTCCCCTCCCTCCCTTCCTCCTCCTCCCTCCTCCCTCCCCCTCCCTCCTCCCTCCTCCTCCCTCCCTCCCTCCCTCCTCCCTCCCTCCCCTCCCTCCTCCCTCCTCCTCTCCTCCCTCCTCCCTCCTCCCTCCTCCCTTCCTCCCTCCTCCCTCCCTCCCTCCTCCCCTCCTCCTCCCTCCTCCCTCCCCCCTCCCTCCCTCCCTCCCTCCTCCCCCCCCTCCCTCCCTCCTCTCCTCCTCCCTCCTCCCCTCCTCCCCCTCCCGTCGAGTGGATCTTGGCTGTTTGGGGCGCCTGTTTCGAGCAGGTGGAGTCTCCCCCAGAGGCAGCGCCCTCGCAAACGGTCGCCTGAAGCAGACGTCTGGAGCCAGACCCCCCTCCCGCCCCCTTTCCGCCCAACGCTCACAGAACGTTCACCAGTTGTTTGTTATCCTGCACCCCGGGTTTCTGAACAAGCGTGGGGGGCACCTCGCCGACGGGGGTCAACCTCGCCTCGTCGTCGCGCCGCCACTGGGGCCGGAGCGCCTTCGGCGCGCGGCGGCTGCTCGCGACGGGGGTCGATGTGGGGCTGTCGGCGGGGGTGTCGCCCCCCCGACGCTTACTAAGAAACTCGGAGTAGGGCCGCTCGCTCCTGCGTGCGACAGACGGGGCCCAGGCGGCCGGCGGCGTCGCGCCGCGGGGTGTGTCGCAGGCTCTCGACTGCGTGCGCCCCTCCTTCCTCCTCCTCCTCCTCCCTCCTCCTCCTCCTCCTCCTCCTCCTCCTCCTCCTCCTCCTCCTCCCCTCCTCCTCCTCCTCCTCCTCATCCTTCTTCTTCTTCCTCCTCCTCCTCCTCCTCCTCCTCCTCCTCCTCCTCCTCCTCCTCCTCCTCCTCCTCCTCCTCCTCCTCCTCCTCCCCCTCCCCCTCCCCTCTCCCTCCCCCTCCTCCTCCTCCTCCTGGCAGCGCCCGCGGGTGCGCCCTGGCCCTGACCCCAGATGCTGCCGCGACCCCGCTGCCCTGGCTGGCCGCTCCGGCCCGCTCACCGCGGAGCTACTCCGCGTCTGAACGCCTCTCTCCTTCTCCCCCCGCGCGGCCGCCCTCTGCTCCGCCTCGTTCTCTTGCTCGCCGGACAATTTGCCGATCGTCGGTGCCCCCGATGAGCCCGACGCCAACGCGGATCGCCTCCGCCTCGCCGCCAAAACAGGTGCCCTCGCGATTCCGTCTTGAGGGTGCGTGAGCGTGCGCCCACTGCCGAGGCGCGGCGCGGTCTGTTCGCGGAAGTGGCAGTGCGGCGTCTGCGCGGCGCACGCCTCGCCCTCGCCGCGCCCAGCGGAGGTTGTGCCGCTCCCGCCCCTGCGCGGCCCGCGCAGCACTCCCTCCGCCAAGTCGTCGGAAGTGGGGGCTGCGCGCGAGGGCCTCTCGTCTGGCAGGCGGGAGCGCTCTCCAAATCCAACTGTCAAGCTGCGCTGCGTCACACTTGATTTGGATGCTACTGGAAGGTTGGTGGGAATAGGTGGGCCCTCAGACTCGTTCCACCTGGCTAATGTAAGCTCTCCTCCATATGTGCCTCCAGCCCCTTTTTGTTCCTCTCTCCTCTCATTCCTTGTCCTCCTCCCCCGTGCTCTCCTCCCTCCCTCTTCTGCTTCTTACCATCCTTCCCCATCCCCCTCCTCTCTTCCGCTCCCTTCCCTGAACCCCTCACTTCCACCATCCCTCCCTTTCACCTCCCGTCCTCCCACTCTTATTTAAGTGCCCCGTCCTCCATCCCGTGTTCCTGTCTCTCCAACCCTGCTCTCATTCCCTGCCTCCGCCTCCGCCCGTCCACCTCCTCTGCGTCTCCCTTCTCCTCTTTCTACCCTCCAGTCATTTCCCCACCCCCTGATCACACTGCCCAGTGTGGAGCAACGTGCCCGACTGGCTGGTTCAGCCTGTCGCCTGTGTGTGCCCACCACTACCACTCCGACGCACTCAGCCAATCCAGGCAGACATCAAGATCTTGCATAGTGCCAGTGTACTTCTGCAGCTGGGCGTCGCCTGGCGCCATTCGGACATTCATTGCCTTGTGTTGCTCATCTCGCTCTCCGCGTGGTCGACTTGCTCCTCAGCATTTCTGCTCAAGTTTGTATTTTGAAACGGCAGTGCGCCGAACCTGCCTGCAGGCAAGCTCTCCTTGCGGGAAGAATGGGGGCGACGGATAGGAAAGAGACAGAGAGAGAGGAGAGACAGACAGACGGACGGGAGTAGAACAAGTCTACAGCAAGAGACTCGCCTTCGTGTGCCAGCACGAAATCGGCGTCCCCCCAGCATACTTCACTATGTGTTCGTCGCCCCCTCAGGGGCGACGCGCGCACCGAGAAATCTTGCAGTATATGCGTCGTGGCGGGCGCTTTCTGGCCACACCGCTCGAGAAACGATATGCTACAAGATGGGTATACTATCTGTTCGGGTCGGACGCGCGCCTCCAAGGCGGACACGTAGTATTAGTATGTCTCTCTGCGTCCCACGAAAGTGTACACCTTAGGCGATGCTTAAGAAAACCTAAGTTTTCGGCCAGAGTCTCGATTATTCTTAACGTTTCAATGTAAATCTTAAGATTTGAATAGAACTGTTGGGTCCTTGTTCAAGTTCTGAGACTATGAATTTCTTAACCCATGATTTCTTGAGCACTTCGCAGGGTGTATGTCTCTCTGCGTCCCACGAGAGTGTGTCCTCCTTATTCTGCCCGACGTTTTCTGCCCGTGGGGCCGACTTGGACAGCGGCCTGGGCGCCGACGATGGCCCCTGGGGCCGGCGCCCTCGACTCGACGCCCCGCGGCGGCGGGCCGATGAAGAAAGGCTCGTGTGCACGTGCCCCGGGGCTGCCGATGCGAACTGTCGCAGGTCAGGGCGCATTTCGATTCGATTCGATCTCGATTCGATTCGCCGCCGATTCGATTGGATTGTCGCCGATTCGGTTGGATCTCGGTTGGATTCGATTCTATTGTCGCTGCCATTCAATCGGTGTTGCCGCCTCACCACCCACCAAACCACCCCAACCCAACCCGAAGGCTCAGATTTACCCTCGATTTCCAGTGGGGGGGGGTCGGGAAGCGTCGAGAAAACACGTGTGTGGTAACCCTTACCCCCCCCCAGCCCGAAATTCGGGTCTTCGGGTTGGGTTGGGGTGGTCTGGCAGGTAGTCATTTCGATGCCGCCGATTCGATTCGAGAGTCGATCTCGATGTCGAGTCCGATTCGGGTGCGGTTCGATGTCGGACTCCGATCTGGGATCCGATGTCTCGTTGGAGGCCCACTGGCCTGCCGACGTCTGCCGATTCGGCTTTTCCCGACTCGGCTGCCGATGCTCAGGAGGAAAAGAGGCACACAGACACAATGAACCCTCGATTCCCTAGAAAATATGGGAAAAGATGGGAAGTGGGGGGGAAGACAGAAGCCCAGAAGAGATGGGAAAGCATGGGGAACATGTTTATTTGTGTGTATTCATGTGTGTGTCCTGGGGCCCCTGCCGATGTCCGTCGATCCGAGGTTCGCGTCGATCGCCGCTCCGGCATCGTCGCTTCGATGCTGGGCGCTCTCCTGGAGGTTTTGGGTGCTCGCGCGGGCAGCGGCGGTGCCCCCCCCCCCCCCCTCTGCAGTGCCGGCTTTAAAATACATGCTCCGCGTGCGGGTCTTGCATGAAACATGCAGGGATCCAGTGCTAAAACCAACGATGGGTTCCACGCATAATAAACTTCTTCATGCATGGATCATGTATTAACAAATCCTATATATTAAAAACAAATCCCATGTATAACAAAGATCTGCAGGGATTTAGTACTAAAAGCATGCAGGGATGCAGTACTAAACACATGGAGGGATTTAGCACTAAAACATGCAGGGATGTAGTAGTACTAAAAACAACGATGGGTTCATGCATACATTTATTCTTATATGGATCATGCATGAAACATCCCATATGTTTAAACAATCCTATGTATCAAAAGCTGCCCTGGCACAGCCCCTCGGGACGGGGGCCCGGCCGCAGCGCAGCGGGCCGACTGCCGTCGGAGCCCAAGCACGGCGCTGCCGCGAGCGTCCGCGGCGCAGCGGGCTCCCGCGCGGCCCGTCGGGACGGGGCCCCGACCGCCGAGCCCCCGCGCCCCGGTGGGCGCCGCCACGGCGGGAGCCACCACCTCCTCGTCCTCCTCCTCTTGTCCTCCTCCTCTTGTCCTCCTCCTCCTGCCCCCCCCCTCCCTCCTCCTGCCCCCCCTCCCTCCTCCTCCCTCCTCTTCCCTCCTCCTCCTCTTTTCCTCCTCCTCCTCCTCTTTTTCCTCCTCCTCCTCCTCCTCCTCCCCCTCCTCCTCCTACTTCTCCACCCTCCTCCCCCTCTCCTCCTACTTCTCCTCCTCTCTCTCCTCCTCCCTTCTCCCCCTCCTCCTCCTCCTTCTCCTGCTCCTCCTCCCTCTCCTCTTCCTCCTCCCTTCTCCTCCTCCTCCTCCTCCTTGCCAGTGGACCCCAAACCTTCCGCCGGGGGCGGGAGTGCAGTCAACCCGCATAGCGCGGATGGGCAACCCTTCCCATGGGTACAATTTGCATCCTTGCCTCCTCGGTCCATCCTTGGCCTCTTTTGTCGGCCGCGCCCCGCTCAAGAAGCCTCGGCATGGGCGTCCCAGGCCCTTGCACCCCTATCGCGCATCGTTTTTGATACAGGCCGGCTGTGGGAATCCACGGCGGGAGAGGGGCGGCCAGTCGCGATGGGCCGTTTGGAGGATGGGTGGGGTTTCGAGGCCGCGCACGCGCCGCTGTTCTGCATATGTGCGGTGCGGTATTGGCGGGGGGGTAGGCTTCCGGCGGTCGCAACCTCCTCCGCTGTCTAGAGAACCGCTGCGAAAGGGAATTGGGTGCCAGCGCCATCGGCTACGACATTGAGATCAGCCCCTGCACCGCGCGGCGGCAGGCTTTGGCGCCGCTCAGCGAACGCGGCGGGGAGCAATTTTGAAGCCACAGCTGCCGCGAGTGGGCGCTGGAGGCCAGCACCATCAGCTATGACGCTGGAGCAGCCACAGGGGGCCGCGCGCGCCAGGCCACGACGCCCAGAGGGAGTCGACGATGCGCCCGCGCGGAGCTCAGGCAGAGGACGCGAAGGAAGCGCGCCTCCCTGCACTAGCCGCAGAGCTGACCCACGCGCAGATCGCGGCCGGAGGCGCCGCGCAGTCTGGCTTGGGCGACATCGTCATCAGGCGCGACCTCCCCGCGCGCCAGTCGGCGACTCGAATGACGCGCAGTGCGCCGCCGGAGGGCGCCAGGCCGCCACCGACGGCCGCAGCCCCAGTGGCACAGGCGCCGCGCCGCGAGCACCGCGGGAGCGCGTGTCCCCCGCCGCCGACGCCCGAGGCAGACAGCACGCCGGGCCCCGGGATCGCGAGGCCTGGGGCCAGGGGCAGCTGGAGAACGGGCTCCCCCCCCCCGACCTCGCCAGCAGCTGGGTTTTTCTTAGCGTACATCGCAGCATACATTCGGATGTTTAGGGGGCCGTGGGCTTCCACAGCGCGAGCCGCTCTGCCAGCAGGGCGATTCGGTTTGACGGTCGAGGCTCCCTCGCAAAAAAGCGAGGTGCAGCCAGTCGAGGCGGAGGTCTCAGAGTTGACAAGGTCACGGCCCACCAGATTCTCTGTAAGGTCGAGCCCCCTCTTTTTCTCGGACCGCTGGTGGCATGCCACGGGGAATGCAGAAGCGGACCGGGTGGCGAAGACGGCTGCGCATCGCCCCCCCCCCCCCCCCCCTCCGACCTTCCGAGCAAGAGCAAGCTGCGTCCGCCGAGCCTGCCCTCCGATTTGCAACGCGTTTCTTGAAGTGCGTTCCCAAAAGGCCCTCTCTCCCCGCGGCCTGCAGTGGCCCCCCCCAGGGCGGGGGGTAGAAAGCTGGTTGGAAAAAAACACAAACACACACACAAAACTCACCAACAACACACAACAACACACACAGGTGTGCGTTGTTGTGTGTGTTTTTTTCCCCACAGTGTGTGTTTTGTGTGTGTGTGTATGTTTTTTTCCACAGTGTGTGTTTTTGTTCCAACCGTGTTTTTTTGTGTTTTTCCTTGCCACCAACCCATCGGTTGGAGCTGCGTCTACCGCGGCATCGCGGCACGGCAGGGCCACGTCCAGCGGGGGGCCCTGCTGCTGGGCCTGGGGTCGCGGCGGCCCCTCCCCCCCCCTCGGGCCCCTCGGACCGCTCGGGCTGCCCGGGTCTGGCGCCGCCCCAGGGCTCGTTTCGAATCCTCCGATTCGATTCGATTCGACTCCGATGGATTCCGATTCCGATTCGATGCCGATTTCTGCCGATCCGACTTATTTCGATCGCCGATCCGACTTATCGATTCGATTCTGGGCTCCCCTGCCGCCCGTCATGGTCTGCCATTCGACATGTATCAAGAAGGCCTTTTTGAGCCCGAGGGCACGAGCATCGCCCGGGCACCGCCGCAGGCCTGGCCAAGCTCGCAATCCCGCCCCACGGGCACCATATTCAAGGGCTCCCTCGAGGGCGCGAAGTTATTCGCGCTTCGCGCTTCGCGGTCCTCGTTCCTTCTCCCCCTCCTCCTCGTCCTCCGAGCTCCTCGTCCCCCTCGCCCTCTCTCCGCGCTCCTCGTTCCTTTGGGAGGGCGGCGCGAGAGCGCGAAGTTATTCGCGCTTCGCGCTTCGCGCAGCGCGAAGCGCGAAGTTGGGAGCCCTAGCATATTGCTGTCTTTGATAAGACTGAGCACGACACTTTCGCCCCTGCTTACGAGAGCTGTGGTAAGTACACAGGGTGTATGTTGAAGGGGCTCCATCAGCGATGCCTCAGCAAATTCAGCTCCACCTTCAGCCAGAGTGCGAGGCAAGCTTTGTGTGAAGGGAGGCGCCCCAAATGCCCATGACAAAGCCTGGTGGCTCCCAAACCCCCTTTTCCACTTGCTATGGCATGCCCAAGTGCTTCCTCGCAACGCTGGAGCCGCCATAGCGCGCGGAGCCGAACCCTTTCTTTAAGTCATGCGATGGTCCCTGGGAATGGTGCCGGGGTTTTGCGGGGTCGGTGCCTTTTTGTCCTGCCCCCTCCAAAGGGGGAGGGAACCGGCCAGCTCGCCAAGCGGCCGGCCCCGCAACATCGTGGATCGAGCCGTCCACATCATCGTGCGCTCGGAGAGAGAGAGAGAGAGAGAGAGAGAGAGAGAGAACAAAAAATAAAATGAAACAAATAAATACAGAAAACAAAGAAGAGAAAGACAGGGGAGAGTGAGGGGAGGAGGAGAGGCCGGGAGGGGAGTAAGGAAGAGGAGATGAGCGCCCGACGAGGAGTGGAACGAGGAGGGGCAGGAGGAGGAAGAGGAGAGGAACGTCTGGCTCTCTCGCCTCCCTGGAAGCCCCCCCGACGTGGCGATAGGCGCCATGGCGTATTCCGCCGCGGGCCAGATGGCCCGGTGCTCTGGTGGCGCCTGTTTTGCGATGCCGGCGGCCCCAGCGGGGGGTTTGGCTCCAGCGCAGCCGCAAGCGGCCATCCAGGCGTTCCGCCGGCGGGGGCATGCGGGTGACCAGCGCAGAAATTCCAGCAGCAATGCTAATGATTGTCTGGCGGGGTTGATCAGTGGGCATTGCGCGTCGGCAGTGGCGGCAATGATCGAGCAGCATTGCAGCAGTCACG